CTAATAAAAATTTAATATAATAATATAAATTTAACTAATAAAATATCTACTAATAAAATTGATTATATTACAATATATTTTATATCATCTTTTTATGATATTTTATATACTATAAAAATCCTTCTTTACATACTTCTTCAATGTTTCTAAAATTATCCAACTAAAATAGTTATTATTACTATAATTATATTTTGTAACAGATGATTTTAAATACTATTCAAATGCCAAATTTTTATTCTTTACTATTATTATACTGTTCTAATAACATGAATCAGCACTATATATTTTACAACAATGTTCATATTTAGCACTTTTCAAATAATATTCAAAGACTTTTTGTTTATCTTTTTTAACTCTAGTTCTATATTCATAACAACATCCATATTATATATTGCATTAGTATGCTCAGTTAACTTTATTGGATATTTTAGTAATATCTAGAAGATTGTTGATTTTTTCTGATCATTTGACAATTAACTTTTTAATGCAATTAGAGAGTATGACTTCACTAAACACATATAGTATTGTGGTAGATTTACTGATATATGGGGTCTTTGCCTTGAAAATAACCTTATGGTACATGATACCATAAGGTCATTTTCAAGGCAAAGACCTCATATATCAACAGATTAGCAGATTACACATATGATGAAAACACAATATCTATAAGTTACAAAAAATCAGCTCTTGTTTCAAAATAATGCCCATATGTATATTCTAAATAATGCATATATACCCAAAATAACGTGCAAGTGTGCATTATTATGTGAAAATATGGTAGAAGAAAAGCAAGCTTATAGAATAAAAAAGAGAAAGTAGACACACAGATCCAAACAGTCAAGAATTAAAAGAAGAAAAGAAAAACTTTATATCAGAAACAGTAAGAAGGTTTTTAGAAAGATCAAAAAATAAAGAAAAGTATACAAGATTCTGAAAAGCACCTATTAAAAGAAATGTAAGACTATGGAGTAGAAGAAAGAAAAAAAGCACAAAATTTCAACGAAAGAGAAAAAGAAAATCTAAACAAATTAACCAAGATCTAGAAGCAGAAGAATCAAAAGTAATATCGAAGAAACTAGAAAAAAAAAGCTATAGATGAATACTTCTGAAGGAAATCTGTATAAAGAATATGATCAAGAGCAAAAAAAATAAAGTGAAGCTTAGAAACTAGAAGAAATACAAAAAGAAAAGAAAAAGCAGAAGATTGAAGCATCAGAGCAGACTACTAGTAGAAAGAATAAAAATAAAATATGAATAGATAAATTAAGATAACTATAGAAGATTACAGAAAAAATTAAGTAGTAGCAAATTTTTAGAATTTATAGAATAAAGAATATATAATATAATAATCTTACTTTAAAATTATCGATTTGATGCTTTGTATTGTTTACAAGTACTGGCTATAGCCAAAGCACAATTATGTTGTGAAATATAAATATAATTAAATAGTACTGACAAGGTGGGTAGTTGCTAGCTAATAACCAAAGAGAAATAAATCCTTAGTAAATTAAAAATCCAGAGGGAGGTCAAAGACTACTGAAACAGATCGCATCTGGGTGAAAACCAGAGATGAGTCTCTAGTTTGATTAGATTAACGATAGCTATAGATAGAAATATATAATTCTTGAATAGTTTAATCTCAAATAAACAGAGGCAGGATTGCTAAATTATAAAAAAAAAACTGTTCTATAACTGTATAGATCAAGAAAAAGTTATATCACTCTTGGTGTAAAAAATCTTTTATAATCTACTATTGGTATAATCTAAGAAAGAAAGAAATCAGAATACAAGATGATAGTTAAATAGTCAAAAAATATAACAAGAAACAGAATATAGCAACAAAGCTTTAAAGTTGAAATAATAACATATACAGACAATACAATATATATAACAAGCTCTAAAAAAACTTTGAAAAACTTTAAAAATTGCTAAAGAGTTTTATAGAATAAATAATATAGAGATTAATCTAAAAAAGTCAGAACTTCTAATAATTGCATTAAAGAAAAAAGTTAAAATAGAAAATAGAAAAGTTAACTTCAGGCCAAATAAAAATAGTGATAGAGGAAAAAAAATAACCTTACAAGATTTTTAGAAATATAGTTAGTAGCAAAGAATAGACTTAGTCATATAGAGAATATTATTAGAAAAGAAATAAATATAATAACAAGACGCATCAACAAAAAGAAGGCATTTCTAGTATATATGATATATATAAACAATATAGTTCTGCTATCAATAATAAAATTTAAAGCACAATTAAAAATTATACTGAAGATCAGATGTGATTAATTGCAAAGTCTTATAATGAAAATTATAAAAAACGAAACTAAAATACTAATAACAACTCTGAATTCTAAGATAAGCTACAAAATGATCATAGAATACAGTTAATTTTGCAAAAACAGATTACACATTATTTTACAGAAATGCTTGTAAGACTAAATAACAAGCAAGAAGTAGGAGAAGCCATATAGCTAAGACTTAAAAAAGTATAAATCGATCTAAGAAGCTGCAGATGTATATTAGAACTAGAAGAAGAAAAACTAAACTGAGCTAAATTACAGAACAATCTAAACTTGCAGATCTTAAAAAGACTAAGAAGCAAAAAAATCTTATTTAGATCAGAAAAAATCGAAGAAAATTTAAAATTGGCAGAAAAAAGAACTAAGATTGCAAATATATTAGAAAAAAGAAAAACAGAAGTTTTTAAAATCATTGTTATTATGAAACTCTTTCTAACAATTACTTGTACCAAACTTATGACTAACAAAAACAGAAACTTGTTGGAGAAAAGTAGAAGAGACAACTACAAATAACAGTTTTTATAGAGGTCAAGAATTTCCATGTTTTTTCCAGACTTCTCTGTATATTTAGTATGCAAGTTAAAAGCGTTCCTGTATAAGATAACTGGCAAGAAGGTTGTGCTTTTGTACGAAAATTTTAATAGAAGCTCTGCTTCTGCTGACGAAGTTAATGATAGTTGGTCTAAAGAGAATAACAAGTGAGTTTTTAACATGTTCTTTACCGAAGTTTAAAGCTACCCACAAACTGAAACCCTATACCAAACTTTACTTTTTGCACTTTTCAAAATTTTCACCAAAAAGTAGAAAAAACAGCATACCCTCAACAAAAGATTGACACAGTAACAGCTGCCGAAAAAGAAAAGTCATGTATATGTATACGTATCTACTTTGGGATGAATAGTGGTAGATAATATAATAACATTTGAAGCACTACAGAAGACCTGCCAATCTAGTTGAGATAGCACTAAAAGTTTTGACCTTGGAGCTCTACTTCAAGACCGGATAGTTTTTAACATTTTTACATCCTGGATATAGATACAGTCGACCCTCCCTGTCAAAACCGATAACCTGCTATAATCAGTTAAAAATCGATCTACCATATCTGTTCTATAATTAATACCCGATAACCTGCAATTTTCGATATCCGATAGTCTTTAAATCTAAGTTCCCGATTAGCTAAATAATGTTACATGAATTTATCCAATCAAATCATCCGTTTTCACGTGACAAAATGTTAATTTAATTTCGATCAAAGACCTCTTTCTAAAAATTTAAGTTACTCGCTTCGCATTTCAAATTTTTTTTCCTTGTACTGTACCCAGATCTGTTAGAGTTATTAAAATTGGTGTAATGTAACTATTTATACAATATGTGCAATATAGTTTTACATATAGAGTGCTTTTTAGAAGTGCTTAAATTATTAATTTATCACATTTTACAACCTACAGTAAACACGAAACAAGCGCTTTATACCTGCTAATAAGCGACTGCTATTTATTTATAATATTTTCCACAATGACAATACAGTAAAATCATAGAAAATTATAATTTTTCAAAGTTATGATTCCAAGAAATCTTACCCGTATGTCATTTATTCAAAACTTTTTTTTTTTTTTTTTTTTAGTAGCGCTTACCTATCTTTTATTCCTAAAATTAAATCTAATACGTTATACTATTTATTGTTCAAGCCTTGACAAGAATTGATCCAGCGTAGATTAGACCTGTTTTTTGGCTTCTTCTTTTCGAACTTCCTCACGAATACATGATTGAAGCTTATGTAAAGACCTTATCGTGATCCCACCATCATCAATTCTCTCATCAACGATTCTCAAAGCATTGCGCAGAATATCCAACTATTCCTTTCCAGTTAAGGATTGTATCATGACTTCATTTTCTACTTGTTCTATTTCTATAGCACCTTGAATAAAATCATTATCATTAAATTGTTGATGTATATCCATTCTTTTTTCCTCGAAATCTAACAAGTCTTCAATTGACATTGGATTACGAATATGCAACATGTTTAGTGTTTGTTGAAGCTTCTCAGCAGCCAATTTATTATCCGGATCAACAAGTAAGCTTTCTTCTACGTCTTCAATAAGAGGGAATGAGACAACTGGTGTTCCATCTTCATCACAAGGAGATACAATTTTGGTGTAGAACCAGCAATTTTTGATTGTTGTAGCAGATACTTCATCCCAGGCAACCTTTACCCATCTCATAGCTTGCAATTGATCAACTTTATATAGATCACTTTTTCCAGCTTCGTCGCGATCAATTGCACGTTGAAGTTGTATGCGACGATAATGAAGCTTAAATGATGCAATTATGCCAGCATCCATGGGCTGTATCTTTGATGTTACATATGGAGGTAGTTTGAGCACCTCTACATTAGTTAGAGTAAGATTAGTAGTAGCATGCGAAGAAGCGCCATTTAGGATGAGTAAAACATGACGATTTGATTTTTTCATGTCATTGTTAAAATTTTCGATCTATTCCTAAAAATAGCGATATGATATAATTAAAATAATTTATTATTAATTTTTTTTTTTAATATTTTAATTGTAAGGGTGATGGAGGTATTATGGCAAATTAGGTATTGTAGCGAATCGTGATATCTCATGCTCCTGCGATCTAAATTAAATAAAATTTATACCATTCGAATTCTTTTGTCGAGAGGAATTGAATGGTATCAATTTTGGACCGTTTATTACAAGTTACTTAAGCTAATGCATTTTTTATATTCATTAACATATAATCAACTTTGTGACTCAGTGGTTCAAACTGAGCGAGTTTTGTGTTTTCTCTTAACAAAGAATCGATTGGTATAAGGATCATCAAATTTGGATACTGGGCCATAAGATTCATGATTAACAAGATGAATCAAATAAAATTAAAATTATTCGACTCCAACCAATGCGATCAAAATATTGTTAACAATATTGTTAACTTCGCCATAATACCCTTATTTCCCTTTTAATGGGGTTTTCTTTTTTTCTTTATTTTTTTTCGTTTTTTTATTTTTTTTTCACTTTTTCAATTTTTTTCATTATATAAGAACCGAATGACATAATAATATCACGACACATATGGAATTAACAGGTAATTATTCAATAACTTGTTTAAATCAATTAGTTGCTATTTTGACTAACTAATTGATGTTGATTCGTACTCTTATCAGAAAAAACATAGCGGTTATCCAGGCTTTTAAATTGTTTCAATAATAGAACCCAAGTTGTTTATCAGTTTTTTTTTAAAACATCTAGGTTTCTTAGCATGACCAATAATAAAGGGCTCAAGCTTGTGTGTGCCATCAGCATTCGATGTAAACGAAATTGTAAGTCGTATACAATCTTTTTTTGCTCCTTCAATTTGGCGGGATGCAATAGTATGATCAGGAGCCATTGTATAGAACAAACCCGTCTCATCCATATAAATATCACACAGAGCATATTTATTAGTTGTACAAATAATATTTGGAAGATTCAAATCGATAGCTTCAAGGTCGGCAGAACCACTCTCACCATGTAGTCTAAAGTGATAGAAGTTATGTCTCTCTTGAAAAGCTTGCAACCATCCATTTGAGAACTCTGGTTGGTTACTTTCTGGAATTTTCATTAAATCTGCCAATTTTTTACCTTTAGTTTTAATCATATCTCCATTTAGACATATACAGCGATTTTCACATTGTAAAACCCAATTCGCCAAAGCGGTATCTAATTCAGAAAACATAACAACACGGCATTTTTTAATTCTAAGATCGCTTTCAAACATTGTATTAAATTCCTCCTTTCTTTTCAAGATGTCCGAAATTGTACTTTGACCTGGGGCTTTTAAAAGATTGAATTTATTTTTTGCCTACTCGGCAAGTTCCTTTTGGGTAATGTTGGGATTTGCTTGATGATGATCACATATCAACTTTCTTTGATCATTGCGCAAATTTCCTGCTAAAACGATTTTATCTTTTTTTTTCTCCATGAATATAATAGAATAACAGTTAAAAAATCATAAAGTCGCGAAGAAGAAAGAAAATAATACGTGACCTTCATAAATATAGTTTTTCTTGTTCTTTATTAAACATTTGGTTCTTGTAGATTTATTTTTAGAACAACGCCCACACCCGTAATTTCAAGACACTAAACTTTATATATTTAAGCCTATCAGGTTTTTTTTTTTGCTTTTTTAGACTAACACATCCAGCGATCACATTTTTTAGAATCACAGATAATGCCTTTTACAGTATTTTTGCGAAATAACACCTTTCTGCGTGTTATTTGGGGTATATGCGCGTAATTAGAGTACATTAGAATATGCACATTGGTGTTATTTTGAGACAAGAATTGATTTTTAATCAACCTGTTTTTCCAAATAACAACCATGTGCATTGTATGTAAGTAGATGCGCAAAGAAAAAACCGATGCATATATCACTGTATATATAAAACACGTGTTAGGGGCGCGCATGAACGTTATTTGAAGCATCGCATACTATTTTACAAGCTTTATACCAATCTTTTATAAAATCGTCCCAACTTGACCCAAGCTTGCTTTTTAAATTTTTTGGCGCAATCTTCCAATAAATTATACCCCGGGTACTATTCAAGAATGAGAATGAATAATACCCGAGTTTTAATCGGGGTATTATTTTGGAATAGATTAGTGGGTCCACCAAAATTCAGCAAATCGGCCTGAATTTGGGGTCAGGGATGGGCCAGAGCAAAGTGGCACTAAGCAATAATACTGGCCAACTATATTATAGCAAAATTATCATTTGGGCAGGTTTACTTAGTGCATAGACTGCCACTTTATTTAATTCTGGCCTATTCTGACCCAAATTTGGACCACTTTGCTGCAGTGGCGAATGGAATTCTTAAAATAAAAAACTTGTTTGAATCATAGGTGATGTAATGATTTTTTTTTTTTTATCGCACAAATAAATGCACGTATATCTTTTATTTCTTTGAGAATTTCCAGATTTTGGCAATGTAAATGAAATATCAAATGGAGTAATTCATAGAATTGCAACAATCTTAAATTACATCTTTATGGGTTGTATATTGTCATGGAATTAATTTAATAAACTAAAAGATATATGTAGGTGTCGTGCAGTCAAAGTTTAGGAAACCAATCAAAATTTGTGTTAGAATTCTGGAGCACTTATTAAAAAAATTTACCGATTAATTTTATTATCGTTATAGTGGATATTAAATCCTGGAATCTTATTGGTCAATCTGTGTCGATCTTTCATGTGACATTTTTTAAATCTGATACCCTCCCAAATCTGATACAAAACCTGTCCACCATGTATACCGGTTTGGGGAGGGTCGACTGTATAAATAATTAGCGTAGAGTTTAGTCTAGTTTATTTGTATACTATATAATTTTTATAATCCAGCACAGATTTAATAGTGCTATCTTTGTTTCTTTTCTTTGTTTTCTTTTTTTTTCATTATTTGTTTTATTTGGTTTTATTAGTTTAGGTGGACCAGAACTCAACGCCGTAGTATTTTACCATTTTTATTTTGCTCTTTATATTTGTGTTTGTATTTCATGTTGGAAAAAGAAAAGCTAACTTTGATACGGTGTGTGGCACCAGCCTATGACCAAAGGATAATCTCTAGTAAGTTAGGGGCCTGAAGAAAGGCTTGAAGTCCACTGAGGCAAGTCATACCTGGTGAAAGCATGGGTATGTCACTTTATAGATAGATTAGTTATAGCTATTATTAAGGAATGTAAATTTCTTAGTATAGTTTAATCTCAATAAAAAGTGGCAGGACAGCCGAATTATAAAAAAAAGAAGGTTTTAAAATATAAAAAAAAACTATAATATCTTTATGTTGAAGCAGCTAATAGACTGAAGCTACTAAAAAATGATAATATGAGAATAGCTAAAAAAATGCAGAAAAGCTAAACAAAAGGCAAGAAAGCAAAATAGTTTTAAAAGCTAGAAGAAAAGGTAATTGAAGACAATAAAACAAGAACAATAAAGAGAAGGTATCAAAAAGATGATCTAAATAGCTTAAGTATAAAACCAACTTTAAATAAAATAAAGACAGAAAAAAGATATAAAGAATAGATTCTTATAGAAGAAGATAAAGATAACATAGGCTTTAGAAAGATAATCTATAAATATGATAAAAAGAAGAAAATGTATAATATAAAACATTAGATAAAGACAGAAAACTAGTAAGAATAATAAATATAGAATACAACAATACAAAAGGTATAATAAAATAAGAATAAGGCTTAAGAAGATTTCAAAGCAATAAAAGAGTACTGAAAAAACTAAATTAAGAAAGTACTAAATAATGATAAAGTTTACAAGATAGAACTTAAGCTAGAGATGCTAAGTTAGAAAAAACAAAAAAAGAAGAGACAAAAGACCTTCAAAGTAGAAAAATAGAAGACAAGATTATCTTAGAGACACTAACAGAGAAGATAATCAAAAATCAAATAAAAGAAGGTGAAATACAAGAGAAACTGCTAGCAGTTGTCAAGAACTGCAAAATATCAAGAAAATAGATTTTTATACAGATAGCTCATTATACAAAAAAGAAGAAATACTACAAAAAGTCAAGATGAAAGCAGGATGAATAACAATAATAAAGTATAGAGAAAAAGAAAAAGAAAAAGCAAGATTTAGCTGCACTCTTAAAGACTAGTATTCATTTACTTGAGCAAAATTAGAAGCAATTTAGATAGCATCTCTGGTTGTATTTAAAGAAGCAGAAATTGTAATTCACACAGACAGTTTGGCTGCTATACAGTTGCTAAAGCAAAAAAAAATTGAAGAAAAGAGAGAAAAGCATTAAAGGTTAAGAATGCAAATATTATATAGCAAATTGAGAAGTTATAGAAAGTTAAAACCTAAAAGTATAGCTAAAGAAGGTTAAAGGACATAGTAAAAATATTTATAATAATATTACAAACAAATTAGCCAAAAAAAAAGCAAGAGATCAGAAGATAGCAACAGTGAAGTGACTCTAGACCAAACATCTGTAAATATCAACAAAATAGAAAGA